GGGCGCGCATTGGTCTCCTTTCGCAAGCGGGCCACGGCGTCGCTCATCTCGGCTGGACGAGGGAGGAGTCGGTTGGCCGGATTCACGTGCCTGTGCAGGGTGCGGGCCATGCCGAAAACCAGCCACTGCATCTGCCCGTGGAACTCGCCCTGGTTGATCCTTCGCACGAAGTCCGTCGCCTGCTCCTGGAAGCCAATCGGCTCTGCATCGAAGATGCGGTCAAAGGTCCAAAGGTTCACCTTCTGGCTCATGGCGTCGTCCTGCCAAAATGGCATCAAGTGGTTCGAAGTGAACCAGAAGGCGGTGTGACTCGACCAGTTTTGCAGAGCTTCGTGCGAGCCTTTCGCAGACACCGGCAGACCTTCCCGCTCCACCAACCGCTTCAAGAAGCTGAAGTTCAAGCTCTTCTTATCGCCGATCTCCGTGCCCACCACCATTCGCTTGCCCTGGCACCATTGCTCCAGACTTGGCCCGGAGGAGGAGCTGCTCAGAACCTTGTCGCCATCCAGAACCATCGCGTAGTCTCCCAGCATGCTGAACAGCAGCTTGGAAACCGTATCCTTGGCTGCTCCGCTGGGGCCGTAGAGATAGTTGACCGCAATGATCGCGAAGCAGGGGGCTGCCGTCTGAGAAAAGTTTCGCCCCATGAACAGCACCTTCGTCCAAGTCTCCAAGATAAGAAGCATCTTCTCTAGAAGCTCGCAGCCCGACTTTGACAGCGTAACCAGTACCTCGACGATCTCTTTCCCCAGATCGCTTTCTTCCACTCCCAGCTTGGCCACGTCCGGGTTGCGGAGCCACTCGCAGATCATGTCGAACACGTCCGGGAGATTCGGAGGCGGCATCCACGGATCGAAATCGCACCCTGCCGCCAAGCCAAGTCTGTGTTCCGGTCGGGCCTTGTAGTGAGAGTTGGAGGCAAAGTCCCAGATCACGCCGTTCCGGAAGAGGAGCTTGTCCTTGGCGTGGTCTCCATCGAGCTTCGGAGCGCTGGACTGTTGGCTCACGAGGCTGTAAATGCCCGGAACCAAGCTCTTTGCAAAGCGGGGGTCATCCAGAGGCTTCGGAACGCGCAGAGGGCAGGACCAATGTCTTCAGCGCCGGCAGAACGTACTTCTCCGCAAAGATCTTCTCCGAAACGGTCGTCCACGCCCCTTTCCGCGCCGGGTCCCCGTTGAAGATCTCGCATTGGCCCTTGCGGTCGGTGAGGTCCACATGAAGCGTCTCCGAGAGGCAGCTGTGCACATACTTGCAGAAGACGCCCTTGTTCTCCGACGCGGCCTTGGCTTTCAGGAGCTCCCTGCACTGGCTTCGAAGCGAAGCAAAGTCTCTCCAGGCGGCTGATGCTTCGACGTCCCAGTCGAGGTGAGGCCAGCACTCCTCCGCCAACTTCCAAGGGTCCTGCGACGGCAGCACCGCAAATGCATCAGGGCCATGCGGACAGTGATCGTTGAGCTTGTCCACGTACTTCTGGGCATTTTGCCGGCTGCAAGCGAGATCGAAGGTGCCTGCTCCTGTGCTGGTCGCCTGCACGTCCACATACTTCTTCAAGATCGCCCCGCAAACCATGTTCTCGACCTTGTCGAAGAGGAGGTTCAGGGCATGCGCCTGGGGCGCAGGGCTGCGGGCCTCCAACCACCTCGCCTTCGCAGGCGCACACGACTGAAAAGCGACTGCGCGAACGGTTCCAAGTTCCTCGCGAAGAGCCTCCACGAAGTTCATGGCCTCACAGTTCTCCACCCGGGCTCCGCGCTGCTGCAACCAGCGCAGCGGGCAGACGCCTCGCACCAGATCAAGGAAAAGCGAGGACGGCGTTCCGATCTGGAAGCTTGTTTCG